ATAGGGAGTATCCTGGATATCAAGATGTGAACATGTGTTCTTCTGTAGGATGCTTGACATGATAGTCGGAGAACTAGCCACGACAAGAAGGAGGCAAGACTTTCTGTAACAAGGGCAAAAGTCCCTAGGATAGACACTCTCACATAAGTGCCTGAAGATACGAAATGCCCTGGCTATGCTATTCTTTAGTATACTTTAGAGGAGTTATAGTCGGGTGAGTGTTAATGATATTTGCACGTGTGTATTATATGAGCCCGATTAAGAACTCGATACCTGGTCCTGATATGACGGTACATGGGATTTGATGTGGGGTGCAGTACTATAAGCAAGAATCTAACTGGGATGATTCGTTCATTCGAACGAGTATGTTTGGTACATGGTATAACTCAAGGACGCGCCGAGGCCATGAAATGGAAGATGGTGAAAACTGAGAGCTAGTATCAAGCACTGCAATTGTTAACGCTAACCCTTTGGACCATCTTCAAAGGTCTAAGGAGCCACATTCTGGAACAACTAATTTCTCAAGTTTCAATGTGAAACTGTGGTCAAATCAGAACAAAGTCTCCATGCAACAGTTCGTGGCCTAAGTTGCTGTTTGTCTGGAGCAAAGCATGTTGAGATCGTCGTACCCACTCATACCCCAAAGAAAGACCAAAGAAAGAAGAGCGAGTTGAAGATTCTTCTTTTGAGTTGGAGTTCGTAGTGCACTGATCTTAATATGTCTTGCGTCAATTCAAGGTTCATACATCACGATTAAGCTATCATAAGTTGTCTGGTGGGATCAAGTTGAGTTTACCCAGTTCCATGTTTGAGAGGACTGAGCGAGTCTCATACGAGTGAGGTCCAAGCCCTGACTAATGACGGATAGTAAAGAGAGATGGTCTGCGGGATCCTGCTGGACATACTGATAGGAGAGAGGGATTTCATGACTTAGTGATAGGATGGAATATGAAATGAATGCGCAGTGTTGTATGTTCGCCCTGTCAATGGTCCGAGCCCCTGAAATGCGTTAGACGGGTTGTTCTCAGCAAGCAAACCACGGTAATTTCATCGAACGTAAAGGTAATTTCCGGTAAGGAAGGCAACGAATAACTGCGGTATATTTTATGAAGACATGATCATTAGCCTTGAAAGTTTTACCATGACATTAGGAATTGTGTTTTTATCCTTGGAGTTGTGCCAGAAACCAGGTCGCCGCATTCGATACGCCCTGATAACTTGACTGAACAATCACGCAGTAGAATCATGGTGAACGCTAAATGAACATCATTAAAATCATTATTATGAATATGCTAACCAGCCATGCCAATTCGTCAATCGCTCCGCCCGCGTCATGGACAGATACGCACTATCCTCAAGCCTATCCTGAAGCTCTTTGAACTTCGGCGTGGGTGCTTTTCTCTCAAATAAGATATCCAATTCGAGGTATGTCAAGTTCCTCGTCTCAGGTAATCTGATATAACACCATATCAGACAGAAAAAGCTCGTTCCTGCGTAGAGGAAGCATGATGCGCCGCCAATGTTCCAAGCAGACGGGTTGAGCATCTTGGGCATGATGATGTTGTTGAATATTAAACAGAGGTTATATGTGACTCGCGCGAGAGCAACAGTTTTAACTCGCAGTCGGGTAGAAGGTATCTCGGCAACCACGATGTAACAAACGGGGCCGATGGTCATGTCGTAAATAAAAGTCATGGCGATGATCAAACCGCCCAAGGTCCAGTTCGCACCGGTGCGATCGTTCAACACGACCCAAACCACGCCGCCAGCGGTCAACAAGCAGATGGGTGCGAGCAATCCGTATATGTATAGTTTCCGACGACCCACGAAGGGGAGTAGCATCCAGGCAATAACGCCGCCGATGATGCCGACTCCGTAGCAAGCGGTTGAGAGGTTGAAGGATATGGAGGCGCTGAAACCAGCTTGTTCGAAGAAATATGGCGCATAAGATGTAAGCGACCAACCACTAAATGCTTGGCAGACCCAGGCTATGCATGAAATCTCTGTTCGTCGGCGATTGACCCCTTTGAAGAGATCTCGGTAGCTGGCTCCTCCGTAGTTGGAGTCCTTCTCCATCTTGTTGGTGTGCTTCATTAGTGAGATAGTATCCTCTATATCGGTACTATTCTTATTAGTCAGACGAGTAAGGGATCTTCTAGCCTCGTCTGTTCGTTCATGGCGAATAAGCCACCCTGTTTGACATGTTAGTTGGGTTTTGTTGAGCTTGGTGAACTATCTTACAAGGGCTGTCGGGCGCGAACCACACGCCGAATAACAATGGTATCGCCCATGCCCATTGAAGCGCAAAGGGAAGTCTATAAGACCATTGGGAAGTTTCATGAACAAGAGACCGGAGAATTCCTGTGCCAATGACTTGTCCGACCAGCCAGCACATGTTGATGCTGCTGAGGACAAAGGGTCGCAGGGCATTTGGCACGACTTCAGCTGAATAAGTTGCGGCAAGAATTTCGATGACACCCCATGAAAGCCCTGAGAGTATAATTAGTATTTTTCGTATAAATTTTGGGTTATAAACATACCGGATAGAGCTTGTGAGGTCAATAAAACGCCGATACTGTCGGCGAAAAATGCAGGGAACACAGCGATACACATCCAGAACAAACTGGCAAGCATCATCTTTCGGTATCCAATAAGATCTGTAATGTAACCGTGTGCCAAAAGCCCAATGATTTCACATGTAATTGCGGCGTTCTGCAGACCCATCTGCCATGATGGTGAGATCTCGTACATCTGATCTTCAGCTGGTGTGTCCTTTGGTAGAGTCGGCTCTCCATATTTCTCTCTGAATGCAGGAAAAGCAAAGAGACCAGTTACAAGTGACTTGTCATAAGCTCTATAGATGTTTAGTTGTACGGTTTAATATGATAAGATTTTAGGACTTACTCCATTACCACAGTCAGGAAGAGCAATAATGACCACCCGACTGCCTTTGGGTACTGTCGACAACATGAGAAGAAGGTCGCTTCTTTCTCTTCTGCGAAACCGCGATAGACTCGCCTCGTTGTTGAATCAGAGGCGTGAGAATGCGGCAGCCACAGCGAATTAGCGAGGTCATTCGGTAGAGATTCCAGCTCAGGCTCGCTGCTCCTAGGCGAACCTGTCGCGAATTCAGGTAACTCTGGCAGAGGAATGGGGCGTGCATCAGTGGGTATGGGGATAGCTTCGCTGGAAGGGCCCATCTTTGAGTTGGTCCTGGTGGATGGTGTTGAATTCCACCAGCGCAGTCTCATATCGATTACGCGGTATTTCAAGGTCGTAAGCGAGTGAGACCATGGCTGAGTTTTAGGTTTTGGTTGACTCTCTTGGGTGTCCGGGGGTGCTATTGACGATTCCCCAGATATTTCATGGTTGCAGCTTTGTTGATGGAGAGAAGTTGTTCAAAAAGAGAATTGTTTCAGTCTCCAGATCCATTCAGAGAATTCAAAGTTGGAACATTGCATTGTGGGGCAGAGGATCGATTGGTCAATGGCGATGCAGAGAGAAATCCGCCAGAGGCGAAGATGAGAGCTAAACCTGGTGACCAACACGTCACTTTTGTGCTTGGGGTTCCTGTTCGGGCCGTGGGCCACGGAGTTTGGTGGATATTCAATGGTAATAGTTTGTATAGACTACTGGGGTTGGGGGGCTGAACAATTGCCCATGGGGGACGGTTTAGAGTCTTTTTTTTGGTCATGGAAGTGCAGAAGAGGCTCTGTAAACAGGTACGCGATCATACCCAGCCAATGAGAGCTGAAGGTTACATTTTCTCTCTCAAAATAGTAGCCATATAAACATCTCTTCACTCCTCAACTCGGTAAATCACTTCATTAACAACACAGGCTCCCCCATCTTATGATTCTCAACCAGGTTCAAGTAAGCTCAAATGTGGAACCGTAAAGAATTTCAACCCTCCAACATTCGCGCAAAATCTGGAGTCGGTCCGATCCCCTTACTCTCCCTCGGTCTGGGTTCCCCAATAATCATCCATCTAATAAAATGTCTGGCGTGACGGCGGCAACGTTACCTGTAAAAGTTTTAGAGCTTCAGGAGGGCTCTTGTATAAGCCACGAGGGAAAAGTTTGAGGAACAAAATTGGTGTTTCTCGTAAGAATTCCTTTCGTAAAGGTCAGCCTAATTATCATAGCTCTGAATAATGTGCTTCCACCAAGCAGCCCACAATGCATTGATTGTACTTGAAATAGTCTGTAACAGCTGCCATATTTTTCTTTTGTTGATACCGAGTGGTTTTGGGTTTGACTTGGTTTAAATAAGCTTATCAACCACGTTTTGTAGCAATTGACTACAGCCCGCTGTCGCCGATCATCTGCACTTGAACCATGCTTCCAAATATCAATGAGATCTACTACCCCAGGCAAGAAAAGCGATGCTTTATGTAGCCCCAAGACTTTTATTATCATTGTGAAGAGTTATTTGCAACAACTCATGCCAATACAACCTCTTGTTTCCTTTGCGCCTCAGGCTGCAGGTGGGGTCACGTGCCAAGCCGTTGAATTCTCATCAAACTCAACACCAAGCAGTCTTTGTCCAGGACTTCAGCGAATCACAGCCCATTAACCTTTAGCAGGAAAGTAACACAACTCATTTGGGCATTCGAGTACATACTCATGTTCAAGGTCTACGGTAGGCCGCGGGCCTTGCTGAGCAGGCTACGGCGTGCTCAAAATTACACCATAAGGAATTATTCAGTGAGACCATCATCGAAACCATCACAACCAAAGGAATCGCCAGAAGCGAAACCACCACCACCCACAAGATTCACGCTTGTACCAACTTCAGAGTGGGGACCACCAAGAGAACGACCATATAAATCACAGAGACACAAGAAAGAAAGACCACGAAGGCGAGAAAGGGCCCCAGAGAGATCATCAACAGAAAAGTCGCCACGACAGAAACCACCAATATCAAAACCAGAAACAGAACCAGAAACAGAACCAGAAATAGAACCAGAACCAGAGAAAGACTCCCAGGAACCACCAGAAATGGACCTACAGCAGTACAAGCTAGAGCGTCATGAACGGTTTTTGACTGCAAACCTATCAGAGGCACAAGCTAAGTTCAATGCCGAACTAGCCAGCATGACTTTCAAAGAAAGACAGAAGCACTTCAATGACATGATGGGATGGTCACTGGAAACACCTTATTCAAGAGAGCTGTATAATAACCCCAAGGATTTCAGGTTGGTAAGGAGGCTCAGAGCAACTGAGATGATTCGAATGGTATTCGGCTATCACTGCACTCCACGCTCAAAAAAGGAATGGGTACCCAAGCTGCAAGCCCGGCTTCGAGGCAGCAATATGAGAGACGTCAGGCTCATCTGCGTTGACACTGACAAGGTCAGGAGGCTGCCCCAGAAACTGGAGGGGGAGTGGAAGAAACGGATCACGTCCTTCCATCTCGGCGTGGCTATACTGGACACCAGGGATATGCGAGACGTCATCAAGAATCGATACAAACTGGATAACCCATCAGATCTCATTCGAACTTATCAGTTTGCCGTCCAAGACAGCGTGCCCGAAGTGGAACATTTCTGTTTTGGTGACACAGAGGCTATATCTGTAGAAGACCTGAGGCGCAGATTTGTCGAGTGGCAGGAAGGAAGAGATGTAATTGGCGTTGCATACTCGGTTCACAATGACTTTTCCGTCTTGAAACACTTCGACATCTACCTGAACCACAAATTCTGGATCGATGTGGCCCAAGCACAATACATCCCCCTTCAAATCGCGTCTTCACAATCGCTGGCAGTTATGATGAACAGACTGAGGATTCGCTACCATGGCAAGCTCCACATACCAGGAAACGATGCGCACTACACCATGAGAGCTTTACTTGGAACGGCAGTTTTGGATTTCTATCGCGAGTGGTCTCATTGGGGAAATGGACTGGCAGATATCCCACCCTGGTACGACCTAGCTACAAAAATTGCTCGGGCTGAAGTCCCCAGAAAAGAACGACGTGTTCGAAAGTAAAAGTTTGCTGGTACGTCGAACTGATGGTTCATTCATGTATTATCTCATGAGCATCGTCGTTTGTGTATCACGACTTGAAAGATGGACGTGATCCTTGCAGCTCGAGATGCCTGCTTTGGTCTTTTTAGGCCGGATGATTCGTTGGTGTGCGGTAGGTCAAAAAGGCATGATCTGACGATCACCAATAACGGTGAGGATGATGCTGAGTTACTCGGTTGGTTATCACTGCAGATCAAGACCGGCATTGGGTATCGTATCAAAGGCAGGTCTCACCACGAGAGCCAACACACGACTTGCCGGAAAACTCACGGAGGAACGGAGGAATGAAGATCAATGAGGGATGGAAGGTATAAGCGTTGATCAAGATGAGAACCATGATTGCAACTCAAGCGATGTCCCTCATCGTCGTCGCTAATTAGAGGCAGGTAATACTGGCTCACGTGTACAATAGCAAGAATGTTCCCAAGACTGAAAGATGATCTGACGATACCAAAAACATGGCAAAGTCAATTCTGAGCAAACACCAACACAATCGTCAACTGCAAATCACATGCCGTGGATTACAGGTCCACATAAACAAACAAAATCAGGCTCCCAAGTTCCTCATCGTCGGGACTGGGCGTCTCATTTTCGTCCTTGTTCGATGTTATCTGGGGTATGGCACCACTGAGCTGGTTCAGCAGGTTTGCCACTGACAGGAGACAAGGCCAGGCTTGAGCCAAAAACTGTCACCTTGTGTTGGCTGCTGCTGGTGTTCGGTGGACCCCGCCTTGACATGGTCAGATGGTCAGAGCCTGAAGAGGGAGCATGAGGCCAGGGGTTGATAGAGGTCGACAGTTGCTGAAGACTTCATTCCGGCAAGAGCCGAATTACATAGACATAGGACTGATGTTCAATGTCTGTATTATATGTATACTTTCAGATAATTATACTGTATTATTATAGTATAGAGCAATAAGTCGTGGTTCATGCAAGGCTGTTAGTGCTCCACATAAACATACACAATATCAACAAACCATAGATAGAGCAATTACCCCGAACGAGATAATAATAAAATACATATTATTGTCACGATGAAAATATGTTTCATAATGATCATATCCTCTCCATTCCCCAAGTTTCCAAATCTGGAATGCCCTGGTTCCCCGGAATCGCCCGAATAGGTCAGACAGCCCAGGGGCCAGCACCTACAATCACACCACCATCGACCGACTCTCAATTGGCAATTGAGAATCCTACGGCTCATGATCAACAGCGCAAAAAAAGTTGACAACATGTAAATTAGTATAAGAGACTTGGTCCAACTCGTAAAAATGGAGTGATTTCTCATCATCATCAATACAGTCCAGTCCAGTCCAGTCTTGCCCTGTCTTCTCACTATCACCTCAAAAGTGTCTATATCTTCACTTACACTACACCACTTACACAATGGCCGCCATCGCTAGACCTGCTCTCGCTAAGCCTGCCGCTTACCCCAAGTAAGTCCCCATAACTTACAACAACTCAACTCCACCAATATCCTAACAATTATTAAAGGGCTCTTCCTGTTGTCGTTGCTGTCGGCAGCTTCGCTCTCATCGCTAGCTACGTGAGCTCCCAACTGGCCACCACATCAGCCAAGTTCGATCGCTCTTTTGCAAAGTACAACACTCCCGAGAGCGAAGCCAACCGAGCGAGAACCTTTGACGGTGCTATCGAGAACCCCAGGACAAGTCTGTTCAACATCCTCGGTCGACGACAGTAGACGATTGTCTATAAAACTTTATCATAAAAGATCCTAGAGATCTGCTTCTGCATACGCATATACTCTTTCTTCACGTTGAGCGTTCTTTATTACGTCTACAACATCGCCTGGTTATAAATGGTTACAGAGACGGACATAGCATTTGGTGGTTGGATAAACTCGAGGGGGCATATACCATGGAAGTCATATAATTTGAACATTGAATAAACAGTTAAAAACTTCACCCAAAATTGACCACAAGAAATGAACACGATATATCAATTCTTTTGTATTACATATAAAAATTCCTCCAGGCAGTCTTTTGCTGAGGTTGCCCTCGTATCCATAAAGACTGATCTAGGGCTTATCCCTATCCTGTTCCTATAACAACGCTTGCTCCATCCAATTCGCTCACTATGCTATGATATATGTTCTCCATCTTTCTCCTTCACATTGGACATCAAATATGCAAGACAATAAAAAAACCACCTCTAGTCCTGCCCAATACGCCTTTTTGTCTTAAATCTATATACTTCACCACTCATATCACTGCCACTAACAAGCGACTTGATATCCCCCTATTTTTACCCCGTTTTCATCCTGCTGGGAGTCCAGCTGAGTCGTGGCCCCGTGTGACTTGAAGACCGCCTAGATCTACTTTTAGGTCCTGCGGGTGTCAACTGGTCGTCAACGGTCTCCGAATCATCCTCTTGTTGCGACGGGCTGCTGCTCTCTCTGTTGCCAATACGGGACGTGAGCGCGCTGAGCTTGTCTTTGAGGTTGCTTGCGCCGTTCTTCCTTCGTACGCCAGAATCGTGATTACTCATGCTCGAGGCAGGTCGTTCGATGCCCGTCGGAATTCTTCTAAACCCGGGCCTGTGTTGTTGGGCGACAGGCACTGGAATGCTGCTGTGAGTGCTGGCGCTGTTCACACTGCTAGCATGGGAATTGCTTGGTGTTATTCCATATGTCTGGCCCTGCTGACTATACATGCTGTTGTTCATGCTGTGTATGCTGCTCTGTGGACTTGCTGTAGCTGGCCGCAAAAGCTCCGAACCGTGATGATGCCTGTCGCTACGATGATGATCATCAATGGGTGTTGGCGGCGTCATCATCAGGAAAGCGGGTACATTAGGCCCATGAGGAGCTTGCGGGCCATGACCTGTACCGCCGTTACGATGTGATCTTCGACTCTTGACACTCGAGCTTCGACTGCGGCGTCGCATAGTAGATCCTGGTCGTACACTACTGTGTGTGCTTCCAGCGCGAATACTTCTAGGAGGTGATCGGGAGAAGTCCACAGGAGATGAGCCATACAGACTGGAATCATCGCTGTCGTTAAGACTGCCAGGATAATGTTGAGAACCACCTGAAGAGGACGGTGCAATGAGAACTGAGCTGTTGGCCAGTACTCGTAGCTTGTCTCGCTGTTCGGCATTGGGTCGATGTTTTGAAAATTTGTTCCCAATGAGTGCACCCGTATGCGAGATCAAAGCCTTCACAACCGCCTTCTTAAGAGCCAGGGCTAGATCAAGGTTGGACCATGTCTTATTCTCCCACTCAATGCTGGGCATTCTGAAGACAAAGTCGTGCACATCCTCAATGTTGCGATTGTCTTTGCCACGGTAGCTCAGGCAAAGCACCACAGAAGGCATCTTGATGGACGAAAACGTCATGTATTGGCTGGCACGAGTCATCATCTTGGTCAGATCGTCTGACTGCTGCTTTTCACTATGATGTTTCTTTCCCAATCCGAAGCGTGGCTTCTTGTCGCCGTCCCTTGACTCACGTCCTTCCCTAGACGAAAGACCTGTGGAAGCACGCGCAAGGCCAACTCTTGGACCCATATTAGATCGGAGAGACTCGTGGGATGCCTTCTTAAGCACAGTCTTGGAAGTTCCAGGAGCACGGAAGAGGCGGAAAGAGTGGCCTTCATTGCCCGTGTTGACACTCAAGGCTTTTCCAGGAGGTGCTTCAGTCTTGGTGTTCGACGTCAAAGTAGGTCTCAGTCGGAGCTCAAGAGAACCTGAGCCTGCTGAGAAAGATGATGAGGATGATTGTCGTGTATATGAAGGTGTCAGACCGTTGCCATCTTCATAATCCTCATCCTCTTCTCCATCAGCCGTGACCTGCTTCAACATGAATGGAGAGTCGTTCTTGGTGCCGGCCGCCTTTTCTCCATTGATACCAGGGAAAATGTACTCAAAAAGTCGCTTGCCAACTTCTCGCTCTAGTTGCACCTTGATTGGGAACAAATTGACCTCGAAGCGGTCCATAACTGGAATGCCTGCTATGGCCTCCAACATATACCAATACACTCGGATCATCTCTTTGTGCTCACCCTCCTGGGCATGCGGCTTCTCAGGATCGATGTACGGTGCTATCATCTCAGGGTATGTGGCATCCGGCAACAGGTTGAGGCCAAGGACCTTACCAACACGGATAAGGTTTACATGAGAACCATCGGAGTTGTCTGTGCGGTCATACTCGAGATCCCTGATCTGCAGCTCCACCAAAGGTTCATTCGAATCTTGCATGAGATGCCAAACAATGTCTCGAATGGTAATATTCCACTTGAGCAGACCAGTGCTGTCATCCGAATTGACATCGTACTTTCTCTGTGAGGAGGTAATAGCCTTCATCATGAAGAACAATTCGTCCTCACAAGCTGCCAGGTCCTTCTCAAGGTGCATTCTGTCTTGCCAACCCTTCTTGTCGAGATATTTTGCATAGATCTGGAAATGGTCCTTGATCTCTTCCATCTGCCTGATGCGTTGTTGCAACTTCTGAACCATAGCCGGGGCACCACTCAAGTCGCTGAAGTCCGAGGCGAGAATGATCTTTTCCAGGCGCTCACTACGCGTCTTCTCCATGGGTTCGTTGTACATGAGGAGGTCAAGTACAATGACATACAATGCATAGTACTGCGATGAGTTACAGAGAGCTCTGGCGGTTGGAAACTCGACCCAAAGATTGTCCATGCGGTTCTCCATATTGACTTGAGAAGCGTTTTCGTTTCCGTCCGTATTCACCTCATCGTTGTACTTCAGGCGCAACGTATTGTACTTGTCATACCGAACCATGGCCGAAGTTTTCTGGACGACGCGCTTGAAACCGAAAGGATCCGCTTGGAAGTCAAACACCACCTCGATAGGAACCCATGGCGGCCAAGAGGAACCGCTTGGTGCACCATATTTGCTTCCAACATACATCGACACAAGGCTGGTTTGGAACCACTTGCGATGTGTGACAAAGAACTGGACGCTATCCATATTGA